GGAACAGTAACCAGGTGCATCCAGAAGCCGGGGTCTATTACGTTTCCCCTCCTACCTATATTGCTGCCTGCAACCGCACCCACAATGACATTGCAGTTTCTTGCTTAAAGCTACAAAACACTTAATCCTAGGTTTACATATTTATTCAACCCAAACCTGGTTGGTGTATCCATATACCCAACACTGTGCTTCGGGAAAACAACAAGCTCCTCTGAAGCTGCCCTGGGTCAATCAGGCATCTGTCTTATCATGTTCAGATTTATTCAGATAATGGGATATCAGTTCAATTCAATTTATTCCTTTTAGGCATCACTTGAACTGTTCACTATAAAAAAAACAGTAAAAAGAGATAATAAAAATAAGAAGACAAAATGGTGAATTTAGCAAGCAACAAACTCACACGTGCAATATTGAATACAATAGCCATCCTTTACCTCTCGCAACATCATAAGAACATGATTAGGAACTTGCAAAAAAGATAGATACTAGCCAATAAGTACTTTTCTTTTCTAAGCAATAGCTGTATACAAAGGAGTATTACTCCCATCAGGATTTGGTTGCAGGCCTACCTTCAGTTAAGAACTGTTAAGAGAATGTTTTCTTCTGTCATGTAAATGTTTTCTTTGGAAGCCAGTTATGAAATGCAGAAGTTTTTTTTTTATTATTGCTTAGGTAGCCTTTTTTATTTATACATCATACATATACTCAGAAAAATTGTTGCATCTCATACTTAAAAGGATTAAAAGGATTTTATTAGATTTTTAGAATATATAATATACATTGCAAACTAAAAGCAGTATGTTTACACTTTTCAGATTTTCTGCACAGCAGAGGTGCAATTTATGTTCTGTTATGGATGTCTTGGATATGGATATTCACATCAGGTTGCTATCTCCTTCTTAAAGTAGATTATTTGAATTTTAATCAGATATTGAAGGGAGAGATGATTCACACTCACCACGTAATGAATTGTTAAAGGAAGATGAATGGACCAGATGAATTATGTGATATGCAGTTTAAGGCAGGGCTTTAATCTTATGCTAAATCTCTTATCCACATATATAATAGAACAGCCTTCCATAACCCAAAGCAGGAAATGAAGTAGTTTTTCCGACTAACTAACTGGGGGTTTTGGATAAAGATGAAACATGCAGACATAAACAGGAGAAATTGCAATCCAGTGAAGCGTGTGCTGTCCTACAGTATGTTAGTTAGTTTACTTTATTGTCATTGCACCTTGTACAACGAAATCAAACACCATTTTCAGTGCACATCATGACCATGAAAATAAACACGAACACACATCCTTCACACTCCACACATTGAATTGAAAACCCCGACATCACACCAACACTGCACTGTACAGTAGAATTCAACAGAGCTAATGTTCTGGGATAGAAGCTGTTTTTCAGCCTATTTGTGCTTGTTTTTATTATTCTGTACCATCTGCCAGATGGTAATAATTCAAAAAAAAAGGTGCCCAGGATGAGATGGATGTTTAAAAATGTTTTGAACTTTCTTAAGGCAGTGGGAGCTATAAAGCTCTTCCAAAGAGCGGAGAGGGCAACCAATGATCTTCTGGGCAATGACGTTAACTCTGTGGCCTTAGTTATCTGCATTATAGTATGTGGTTTCCTCTGCAGAGACAGAAGAAATAAAAGCAACTTGCACTGAGATAGGTCCTCCAGTCAATATATTCAGACCAGGGAAAATGAACATGAAAATGAACCAAACTGAATCTGGTTTTATAGCTTCTTGAATAATAACAAAATTTCCACCCAGAACCTTGTAAAATCTAAAAGGATTTTGCAGGAAAAGCAAAAAAGGACAAAAGTCTCTATCTCAATTCTCCCTTTATCCCAAAAAATATTCAGAAAGGGGACACCTGAAAACCACAGGTATCAATATTATTTGCTGTCATGAGCAGAAGAAATGAAAACAGGTGCAAATATGCATGATTGAGGACAAGAAGGATCTCTCACACTGACAGGACAAGGAATAGGAAAGTGAAAATATTATAAAATGGTTTAGCAAAACCAAAAATCAAGCTCTAAACCAGAGCAAGAAAAATGTTAATGGATTGTTCTAATCAAGACATATATAGATATCCAAATGAATAATCCATGAAGATTCTATAGATTTATAAGTCAATCCATACATAAAATAGAAGAGTCAGCTAAGTACATAATACCCCAACAATTTAGTTGTTTTGAGCTACAGTTCATATCTTCCAATTAGGCAATGATAGGTCTGGAAAGTATTTTAGTAGAAGTAGCCAGATCATATCCAAATAATTCCAGATTGGAAATAGAAATAGAATTACAGGTAGTATTTGGAGTAAGAAAAACAAATATAGTAATACCTTACCAGTTTGCTCTCCCATGGATTCTGTAGTAAAAGACTAATAAGATTGTGGTACATAATCTCTAAAACTTCAGCTAGTTTGGGGCTTTATTCTTTATGCTATTTCATAAAGTGTATATTAATAAACCAAAATTATATTGTTATTTATTTTATAACACGGTGGTTTTTTTGCAGTTGAAACTGCCAGGAGCAGATCCTGCCCAGGCTGTGGCATATTCCATGTTTCTACGGGTTCCACCACCAGAAGATAGAAAAGATTATTCAAGGCACTTATACCAGACATTAAATTGTTCTGATAATTTAATTAATAGCATACATACAGTATTTCATGTAGTTTTAGAAATAAATTATTTTAAATGAATTAGAACTGTAGAGATTAAAATGAAAACTCTCATCCATGAGTGCCTCTTGCCTAGGAAATAAAATTTTATTCCAGTTACAAATATATTCTTTGTCTTTTCCTATTCTTGGGAAAAGATATATGAAGAATTGGGAGAGAATGATTTTGACTCTCATTCCAGTATTAGATAACCCGGTGTTAACATATACTGTGTCATGGAGAATTCAAAATCTTTAAAAAAAATTATCAGAAATTGGCATTAAAACAGGTTTTGCAAATCTTGGATTTGTCAATTCAAAGTTTGAGACTATTATTTAGGCACCTAGGTTCTAATTTTTACTAAAAATACAACAGAACCTGATTTATACAAAGGCTTTTCTCCCAATTGGACTGTGGATATATACACTCATAGACTTTGAGTGTATGAATGTGTGCGTGTGTGTGCATGTGTGAAATTGTATATTTATAGATGCATAATTATATCAAAAATTGTCTTATATAAACTTCAATTATGTGTTAGAACACATGTAAATCTTACCTCAAATTGAAGATCCTAATTTTTGGCAATATAAAATCTTCCCTAAAATCTGTTTTTATTTCAGTTATTGGTCAGCAATGCATGAATGAAATTCAGAAGGGGTGCTGGTCTTACCTGATATGCTTCTTCTCGGTGTGCTGAGAGAGAATCCAAGTAATGGGTTAAACTCTGCTCTGAGACTGAGTCCTGTCAAACTTCTGTAGCCACGCCTCTCTTGACTGTGTCCCAGTTTTGATGAAGGCGTAGCAATTGACTTGACATACTTTTGTTCTGATTTGTCCACTCCTGGACTCTGGACCAGACAGTCACCAGGGTGGGATTGGGTTCTCTCTCAGCACACCTAGAAGAAGTGTATCAGGTAAGACCAACACTTCTTCTCCAGTGTGCTGAGGAGAATCCAAGAATGGGCCATACCAAAGCCAGCTTGTCCTAAGGATGGGCAGTGGTCTGATCCCGAATCCCCTGGTCCATGTGCACTCTCTGGAGAATTCACCTGACGAAGGCCGCTTCAGCCAAAGTGAAGGTGTCCAGTTTGTAGCGTCTTATGAATGGGGATGGAGAGGTCCATGTTGCTGCCCTACAGATTTCATCGATAGAGGCCTGTGATGCCCACGCAGCCATCATGGCTGCGTTTCTGCTGGAGTGGGCTGTCACTTGCCAAGGCAACGGGAGAGCATGAAGCTCATAGGTTTTGGCGATGCATGCCCATATCCAGTGGCCTACGGTTGATGCTGTAACCTTGTTACCCAGTGTAGAGGGCTGGAAGGATACAGAGACTCTGTCTTCCTAAGAGAAAAACCTGGGTAGCTGGCAGTCTTCCCCACTCACTTCTGTCACGTTGCGGTTCCCTGATGCCATGGAATCCTCCATTTTGAATTTCTTGGCCCTTTTGACAGGCAGGCTCATTCCGAATCAGAACATTGCTGCTGCAGCTTTTTCTGTTTTGCTACAATAGAGTATACACCTGGAGTGAACCGGGCAGTGACTCCAGTCCCCTCCACTGGTTGTGGATAGATGCCAGAGACCTTGACTCTATCTGGATGAGTTGGATCATGGCAGCTATGCCAGACAGACCAGGGAGCCAGCTGTGTCGAGGCGCTATGCCGGACGGACCGGGGAGCCAGACAAATCATTCTCTTTCCTTGTAAACAGTTACGCAAGTCCAAATATCCTTACTGTAAACAAGAGCGAGAATCCAAGAAATGAACTCACTCTGTTTGCTCTAAGGTCTGAGTCTCTGAGGAGCTATCTTCCAAACATTTCTCTTGAGCCAAGACTGAGTCAAAACTGGGACCCAGTCAAGGGAGGCGTGGCTACAGAAGTTTGACAGGACTCAGTCTCAGAGCAGAAAGGCAGAGTTAACCCATTCTTGGATTCTCCTCAGCATACTGGAGAATTGTATTTTCTTTTTAATATGAAAGTTTATCATTTTTTCTTTTGCAATTTCCAATTTAATTAAATGGAACAAAGAAAAAAGAAAAGTTATAGATACTTAGATGGGGAGCACACAAATATCAGTGTACATCAATGTAAGATATCTCATGCATGTATATACGTGTAAAGAAGTTCAAGAAAATATGACAATATTTTGCTATAATTGTCCATACATATCTCTGTGTGTAAATAAGCTGTAAATAACATCAAATCTTCAGTGTATTGAGTAACTCGCCCATAAATTTATTTTTCTAATATTAATTTAATTTATTTAGTAGAATTTGTGCAATTTTGCTGCATTTATCAGAATGATGAAATTGATATATCTTTGGAAGCTCTGTCCTTTTTAAATGGGTGGATATAGAAAAGGGCTAGAGCTTGGGTTATGAGGTCATGATACTTTTGTCAGTTTGACCCTCCTTATATCCCACAGATGTCATTGGTTGAAGAACAAATTTCTTAGTGACCAGACAGATACAAAGAATCCATCCATTTCTGTTGTCCGGATTTCATTTTCCATGTGGTAGCTGTGTAATTCAGAATAATATCAGCCTCTCAAAATATTAAAACCTGTCTCAGAATTATATTATAATGTTGTTCTATCTTCCCAGAACATAGTGATTTTAGAATGTAGCATTCACATGAAGCATTATTCTCATATGCCCTCATATTTAACAAATTAAATGCTTCAAATATTTTTATTAGTTATGCTACAAAAATAGCAGCTCAGTTCTTATTCCATGTAGATAAGTTGCAACTATTCAGCCAATTACAGAAGACCATAAATACTTAATTAAAATTAGATACTTAATGTAATCTGCAATGAGTTACAAAAAATAAAAAAGAATGTCAAATACACTAGCAAGCATTTCACTGCAGCTGCTATCAATGGCACCATCTTGATGATCAAAGGTAGATACTTTTATTAATTGCTTCTTTTCAAAGAATGCATTAAAGACAGTTGTTACCCTTGAATTTTGCTTGGACATTTCTATATGAAGACATGATTAATTTCTTAAATATCTAATGTAACGATAGCCTGCATGGATATTGGATCTCCTAAATTGGGTTAAGTCAACAACTTTTTACCAGCAAATTTTCTGTTCTTCAGGGTGAATTTGTTTATTATTTCCAGCTTTCATTAATGGTTGTTTATGGTTCTTGTGGAGTCCAACGTATGAGTTCTGACTATATACAGAATTCTTTCTAGGCTAAATGGGTTCAAAATTATGGTATTGTGATTTCATGGTCACAGTGGCTGGAGAATTCTGGAACTAGCTGAAGATTAGAAGATACAGATTAGTGATGGCTAAGCTAGAATTTTGGTGTGCATGCCATTCTCCATATTGATATATTAATGCTCAAAGGGAATGCTTCCTGTGTTCTTGCTCAGCTTCAGTTTGTAAAGAAGTAAACAGTAAACAGTATCAAATTTCAGATGTCAAATTTCACAACAAAGTTCCACTTCTTTCCCATTAAAACTCATTGGGAAATGAACAGTGGGAGAGCAAATTTCATTGTCTGGACTATTTAACATGAAATATTTTTGACCTAATTTATAGAAATGTATGAGAAACTTTTATGTATCTGGCTGATAGAAGTACAAGCAGCATCTATATAACACTGATCTAGAATGTCTAAAAATTGCTGCAAACATTTTTAGGCAAGCTCTTGTAAACTTTGACCCATTGCCATGGCTGCTAGATTATCAGGATATTTATACCTGCAAAACTCACTATAACTGATGTCTCTAGTTTTCCTGAACATTTAAATGTAATCTTTATAAGGTACTTACTTTAGCTGAGAAAACATGATCATGTTGGTTGGTTTTTTAAAACTGAAATTATCTGTTTAAGTATAGTGAGTCCTTGTGCTTAAATTAATTTTATTTTAAACATTATTTGCTTCTGAAAGTATTTTTTCATTGAAGATGTATAGACTGCTTTCCCTTGATTAAAAATGGTATCCAATAGAGAAGGTAATAGAGAAGGGAAGGGTTCTTTTGTGATTACTTCTACCAGAAACAAACTTTGAAGGCACTGCTTTTGTTTGTTTATTTTGCAGCAATGTCATCAAACCACGACACATGGATTACCCCGCTTTCTTATCCCCAGATCTGAAGGTCACAGTTGGAAGCTCTGAATTGGAAATTCCTAGAGAAAGTGCAGAACAGTACAAAACTCTTCAGAAAGCTTTGAAAGAGCCAGCCCGAGCAAGGTAAGAAAACTGATGAAAACACCTTTTTCTTTTATATGTTAGCTCTTCTTATGTTCTCTAAATTCAGTCATGCTTTCAATATTGACTTCCTTTTTTGTTTATAAAAAAAAATCAGCTGACTGTGAGGAAACAGGTTGAATTTGAAAGTGTCCTTTCTTGCGGGAGTGGCTTGGGCTTTGAAAATCTGTATGTGGCAATATCCAGTCAAGGTTATGTGACTTTTCCTTCTCAGAATAAAAGACATCACCCTCCTCTGATGTTTTCTTTCCATCCATCTTTGAATCAGCATAAAACTGTACTGGCATTAAATTCCCTGTCCCATTGTTGCTCCCTAGCTTCCCACTGTATCAAGATTGTTGCCTGACTTTCTCCTGGATGCAGTAAGTAATGGGTGACAAAGCCTAACACTTTGAGGCTGCCCTTAGGGGCCCAGTGAGAAAGCAAATGCTACTTTAATACTGGTATAGCTTAGGATGACTTAAACCTATCTTTTATGAGCTGGCGATGATGAAAGCTATGACATGGAAACATGGCAAGAAAACAACTGTTGCTAGGACATCTGATACTATGGTTGGGGACAGATGATGAAGAGCCTGCAGAAGGGATTCCAGGCTTGATCCTGTGTGGTAATTTTGGATTCCAAGTATTATTTGCTAAAATAAATCACCCATCAACAAACCTAGAACAATACAGGTACATAGAAACTTTCCAAGGCTTTAACATGTTTTGTGATGCTGAGGAATGGTTGACTATATCATTTTAACATCATTTATTCTCAAGTCTGTTCTTAACTTCTTTTTTTTAGGCATCAAAAGGATATTCTAGCACCATAACTATTTGATATTAAGAAAAAAGAGAACCTTATGCCAATTACATGCAAAGTGAAACGTGATACGAACTGTCCATTTTACTTCATTTTAGATTACATGTTATAAAATTCATTTTTTCACACAGTTTAATTACAGTCTATGTAGCAGGGGAGAATCAGCAGATGTATACCAGCTTCCAAGAGGCACCTAGAAGAGTTAGGCATCTTTACAATTAAGTTATATCTCTATGCTAATTAGAAGTGTACATGGGATTTTATGTATTCTTATCTGATTGTTACTTTTCTGATTGTTTATTTGATTTTTATCTGATTCTCTCTATACCAATGGGTGTATCTCAAAAGATCTCTCTGTTAAAGTATGGAACTTTGTAGATACAATAGTCACTGATCTCATTCAAGATGGTGATGAATCTGCATAGAGATAGGAGGTTGAACAACTGATCCCGTGGTGCAGCCAGAACAATCTAGAACTGAACGCACTTAAGAGATGGCAGTAGATTTTAGGAGGAGCTCTCTTGTTCTACCACTCTTATAATATTAGATACATATTATCAACAGTAGAGACCTTCAGGTTTCTGGGTGTCCATAATCTCCTAGAGCTTGAAATAGACACTCAATATTAGAACTGCCATTAAAAAGTAACAACAAAATTTTTTCTTCTTGCGCCAAACCAGGACGCTCAGACTGCCCAAGGAACTGCTGATATGGTGCTTCAGAGAAATTATTGGGTCTGTCATCTATACTTCTATAACTGTCTAGTTTAGCACAGCAACTAAACAGGACAGGTACAGACTTCAACTGATAGGACTGCAGGAAAAACAATTGCAACAACCATTGAGAATCTGTATACTGCATAGATTAGAAAGAGGGCTGAGAAAATATCTACAGACCACTCACATCATAGACATAAATTGTTTCATCTCCTCCCCTTGGGATGCCACTATAAGGGATTGCATATCAAAACAACTAGACACAAAGACAGTTCCCCCACCCCCAATTGCAAAAACTCTGCTGAACACCTAATTCCAACAGCACTGTCTTATGCCTAAGGTTATCTAACCATGTAGTAGGGCTGTATTGCTGTTATTCTTCTCATCGATCCTATTACCTATTCCTATTGGTATCTTACGAATACACTTTGTTGCTTGTATGTACACTGACAGCTTAGGCACCAGAAGCAAATTCCTTGACCAACATAAAAGAATATATGATTCCAATTAAGAATATTCTATTGCGCATCATATAAAGACCATTAAGACCACTTACTAATTTAATGTTAAATGTAATTTAAGTAATTCAGTAAATGAACAGAAAAAAAATATAGAAATTAGGAATCAGCTCTAATATGAAGTTTCCCAATGTGGTGGTCTTGGGTGGTTGTTAATTCTGTTTGCTTCAGAAAAACTGATTTAGCTAATAACAATTGAAGATTGGACTTACCTAATTTTGAGTTGATCCCTGATATTGCAGCCTAATATTATCCTTGACTGAATCAGAATTCAGCCTTGTCTTTCTCTATCTGATAGCAAAAAATGTTAATCCTATTTGTATATATGTATGTATGTTGCTTTTTAGATTGGAAAAAATGAAAAAAGAATACCGGACCTTAAGAACATGGCGTGAAAAGGCTGAGTATTTGGACCAGCTGATTTTAAAAAGAGGACCAAAATCAAAACCTTTCACAAAGGTAATTTTATATTATAAAATAGGCAAATAGTGTGCAATTGATTAAAGGCCAAAGTACCCTGTGAATGACAATTCTTTGATCTCTGATATTTACAAAAAGTGAAAAAAGGCAGCTGAAAACTGAACATGCAAGATCAGTTACTCCTTTCTCTCCCATTATTTGTCTTCTCAGAATCCAAGAGTTTTTCTCATCTTTCTCTTCCAAATATCATGTCCAGATAACAGGACAGGGACGCTCCTTTACATCCTGGTTGTGTGATGGCTCAGAAGATATGAAATATAATCCTCTTGTAACAAGATTTTTCAATGCATCAGTTTAATTATGTCCAGTGGTGTTCATGGAAAAGATGCTTTCATGATCTGATAAACATACCTATTCAAGGAGAAATGCCCAATCATCTAACCCTACTGAGATCAGAATTTGTTGGATATGGAATGTGTTTAAATTACAGTCCCTAAATCCACAGCCAGAAAGGAGCTGTAAATGATGTAGGACGTAATCTTTGCATTAAGTAGAATCTGCTTCTGAGTAAGCTCTTAACTGCCAAGAGACTCTGTTTATATCTTGATATAGAACTTAATAACCTGTATTCCTTGGAGACAGAGGTGGTATTCAGCAGGTTCTGACCAGTTCTGGAGAACCGGTAACAGAAATTTTGAGTAGTTCGGAGAACTGGCAAATGCCACCTCTGGAGATTTTATAGTATTCTTCCCCTGCCACGCCCACAGAACCGGTAGTGAAGAAAATTGAATTCCATCACTGTTTGAGGGTGTTTCTTTGGACTTGTCTTTTAATTCATACTAGGAACCTGAGGCCCATGGAGATTCCCGATCAACATCTTGTGAGGGTTCAGGTTTCTCAGTATTCAAGGCTTTCTGGACTTAGATTCTGTTCAAAGATATTAAAGTTTAGACTCCTGTGCTTGTCTTTCAGTGAAAAAGCCTCAGCCGAGATGTTACAGGTTGTAATTGGAGAAATAAACTCAGAACCATTCAAGAGTTAATACGCTAGTTACGACACCATCCTCATAAAATATGGGATAAACGCAGAGAATAAAGTGTTAAAATTAGGTTGCTATCACTTTATTCTATCCAATAAGCATTCATCTTGATCTTGGAAGTCTGATCTTGTCCCAGTCATGATCTGTTTACAATTTTGCAATATGTTCTATAGATTAAAATTGTATAGAGATGGTAGAGCTTTTTTCAGTATTAGAGAAATTATTTTTATAGATAATTTAACTATGAGATATACAGATAGTCTTCACTGATGGCAGTTGGAACTTCACTGCTAAGTGACATAGTTGTAATGTGACCATACCAACTTATATGGGCAGTTATAATAAAAAATAAATACAAATAAATTTGCACAATTGAATATAAGGAAATAAATTAAGCTTCAGGTTATTTGAAAATGGAATATATATGCTGATTCATCTATCCAGAAATATAGGTTTAGAAAATACAGGTAATCCTCGAGTTATGACCTTAATGAAGCCTGCCCATTAGGATCAGAAGTTGGGACAGCATTAAATGGCATAACTTCAAATAATGACCATCCCTTCTCTTCCCTGGTGCATTTGTTAAACAAATACACGGGTCATTAAGTGGAGCAGGAGTGGGAGAGATCCTGGGAGGCTAGTGCAGGCACAAGCCCACCTACTTCAAGTTTCTCAAGGCCTCCCCACCCCAAGATATCCCATGCTTGCTTCCCCTCACCCTCTACACTGCTGTCTGTCTTGCCAGCCAAAGAAACAACTAGGAAGGGAAATGCTGGGCCTATCTGTCTTTCCTAATTCTGGCCCTTTCTTTCCTCCTGCCAAGGAGCCCTTCCTTTCTGGGGCAGAAAACGAGCTAATTCCCTAGCCTGTCGGAGCTTTCTGCTGCTCATCCACAGGTTGCAAAGCTCTCCTGCCTCTTGCTGGGCTTTGGGAAGCTGGACTCTGCATAAAAGATCAGCTTCCCAAAACCTTTTCCTTGCTTAACCTTCCCCTTCTCTCCCTCCAAAAGCCCACATTTCTTCAATAAACAAAACAAAAACAGTTGGAAGGGACAGACTTGTTGATCTGCCTCCCCGTCTCCCCACATGAGGCAAGATTCAAGATGGCGATCGAGGCGAATGCCTAACCGCATTGCTAGAGATGGAGAGTGGGGTCTGGGGCCAACGGAGCCGCAATCTACCTCAACCAGGAATGTCAGAAGGTTTTGGAAGGTTCCGAGAATAGAGAACTTGCCGGTCATCCCAAGAGAGATTGGAGAGGCCAGGACACCATCCTGTGCAAAGAGTTCAGGACTCTATTCCATAGGACGCCATTCCGAATGGGTGAGACTTGTAAAGAACTGGAACTGGCGGATAGCGAATAATGCGGATAGTGCAAAGAGCATGCAGAGAGTGGAGAGCGGATAGTGCAAAGAGCCGGGACGAACTGAGATTAGATGAGAGTGTGATTCTGATACTTACAGAGAGAGTGATTCCGAGAGTGAGCTATTCTGAGCAGCATGGAATGAGCGGCATGGAATGAGCTGTGACTGGTGGAGAGTGATTCTGAACTGCAGTGAAAGACAAAACTGACAGAGAGGATGATCCTAAACATCTGAAAAAGAGCCAGGACTGGAGGAGAGCAGGAGAGTGTGATTCTGAATGGCCGAGAATTGTGGAGATCCGAGGAGATCACGGAGAATCGATATATCCTACTTGAGAGGAATAATCTCCTAACAGTCACCATTTAAATCACCCAGCTGATTAGTCAGCCTCCATTTAAATCCCCAGTCAGCTGATTGGACAACCTCCATTTAATCCCACCCAAATCTCATCCATTCCAAACTCCCAAGTAGATGATTGGAGAATTCATTCAAATCTTCTCCATTCAAATCTATCAAGCAGCTGATTGAAAGATCTCCACGATCTAATAATACGTAACTGATAAAAGAGTCTTCCACAGAACACTAACAAAGCTCCCTGAAGCAACGCTTCCTCTTTAAAAACAAAAACAAAACAAAACAAAAACCAAACAAAGTGGCTTTAAGGAAAAACAAAGGAACTTTACACTACCAACCTCCAATATTTCACTACCTCCACTATTTCATTACCTCAAGACCAATTATTGATAGATAATGCTTTGTCTAAAATAATTGGTTTATTATTTAATAGTATAATAATTATTAAATGACCACTAATTTACTGATTTATTGATTGATAGTGATTTAATACTGTATCATTGATAATCTAATTGGTTGATTGTTTGTTTGATTTTTTTAGTAATAAATAACCTTACTTTTGATTTGTTCTCTAACTTATCAATTAACATTTATTAATTACCAACATTCATTAAATAATACCTATCACATTAATTAGCTATTGAAATTGTTTAGTGTATTATTGTCATTGACCATGCCAGCCCAAAACACCAAACCCTCCACTACCAAACACCAACAAAAGAATGATATCTCTACCAATGACCTTCCAAACTCCTGCACATGCTTCAAATGTCTTGAAACCATCAGTGAAAGTGAAAATAACATTAAATGCCACCTATATGACAATTAAGCCCACCTTGCCTGCTTAAACTTAACCAAAAACCTAGCTGATCTCCCACAAACATCAGATACATTTCCTTGTCTATGTCCATCATGTTTACCTAAGCTAAACAAACTAAGTACCTTGTCTGATAGAGTTGAAAGTATAGAATCATTCATTCACTTGATAGAAGAATGCTTAGTAACATGTTTTGAAACAACTATACAATCAAGCCTTATCTCTCTTGAAAAAAAAATACAGCACAGATAAGCAAATACCTTACAGCTCAAAATCAAATCCCAACTCAACAACCGCTACCACAACTGCTACCTCAACTACAATCACAACTACAACCAAAAATAACCATCAAACCACAGCCACAAATAATCACTATCTTATCAAATAATACCACAAATGATATCCCCTTACTCATTAGAGACATCATGGAACGTGATCAGAAATGTCCAAATGCCATCTTATTTGGTCTTGAAGACACCAACGAATCTGATGATATCACTAAAGTTTGCAATATCATAAGCAACTCAAATACAACAAACATCTCTCCTGAAGATATTGAAATAACCAGAGATGGCCCCGAGTTCAAATACAATGATGGATCAATGTCCCCAAGATTCTGTATAGTTGTTTGCAAAAATGAGTCTAGCAAACGGATGTTCATTCATACAATAAACGCCATTGCTAAGACCAATCCCAACCATAACAAACTTCACTCACAACCAGACTTATCCATAACTGCAAAGAATTCGCTCCTGTGAACTCCGCAAGGAACTCAAAAAATATCTAGACAATGGAGAGAAGGATCTATATATTGACTACTGTGGTGATTGTATCAAAAGTAAGTCACACAACCTGAGTAGGATTTGATGCACAAGTCCCATAGGCCACAAGTTCAAATGTGCTTTCTTGTCTTTTAGCAAGACAATGTCTCCTCCTTCGAGGTTCAGTTCTTTGGTCTTCCATTTACGGCTGTCTTGTAGGGTAGACAGGTACTTTTGCTTCCAGTGGTTCCAAAAGTATTGGCAAGCTGTTGAACTTGTCTCCATTGTTGTTTGTACAAGTCCTTAGAATCAAAGTTCCCTAATGGTGCGGGCCAATCACCTGTCTTCTGAGTTAGCAAGGTAGCTGGAGTGAGAATAGTCGGATTCTTAGGATCAGAGAAACCGGAACTAAAGGGCGACCGTTGATGGTGGCTGCTACTTCTGCCATCAGGGTGGATAGGGCCTCATGTGTCAGCGTAGGTGCCTTCATCATCATGGAATCCAGGATCCTGTGAGTTATTCTGATCATGCGTTCCCATGCTCCTCCCATATGGGATGCATGGGGAGGGTCAAATATCCATACACAATTGTTAGCTTTAAGGTAGCCATCAATTGGCGAGTTAGGGCAAATGCCTTCCTCAATCTGTAATTCTTTACAAGCTCCTACAAAGTTCGTTCCACGGTCAGATATGAATACCTTGACTG